GAGTCTACTCTTAGTGAGAAGTTCAAACACGTTTTTCGAGGGGAGAGAGAGAAAAAAAGCTGGAAGTGAATGACTTACAACTTCTTCAAATGCAGTCGCATTTTCTCATTCGTGAACATCGTGCGTTCTGTATAAAATGGTGAAGCCCAGGTAACCGAACTCACGCTGTCCATCAAAAACTTCAACGCACGTCGAACGAAAAAAAAAAGTAATAATCCGGATAAAGGGAAGCACACGGGATCTTCCTTTTTATTTCTCTATGGTGATCCCGTTACGTGCTTCGTTCCGGATCACACTTGGATCTTTTCTTGAAATATCCTCGTTATCTGATAAGTGTGTCAGCGCTTCACGAACTGGACATCACTTATAAACTTTAACGCTTCACAGTGTGCGAAACAATACTTTTCTATTTTCGGCCCCCCGAAGACGAGTTTTTATCGATAAAATAACGAAATTTTTCACAGCGATAAAATTCAATTGACGATTTTAGAAAAGAACTCGGTCTACTTGAGGCTATACAAGTACTAGATTACTTTCTTCGTTTGAAGGCTTGATTTGCCTTTTTTTTTTTAAACAGAAAACAAAATTAAAAAATTATATTGGACCAACAATCGACTATTCGTTGTTAACGATGTACTTGCCGCCTTTTTATCCTTCCATTCGCCGCGGCTGGAAGATATGCTTTCTTTTAACTGGCCCATTTTAATATTGTTTTAAATCAATTAATCCAAGCGTGTTTGACAAACTTCACCTCGATGCAACCTAAATTAGCAGAAAAAGAACCGAACCGAATTTCACATAATTTTCAACTTCAATGTCAAAACTGTTCTTTAGTGAAGCACCTGACATTTACACTACAACGACTTTTCTACGGTTGTATAGATGACATAAATGAAATTGCACCACAATTTTTTGGAATAGATCGTAGTTCAATCGTTTCGGAATAAGCATTGATTGCTCACCTAATGAAAAAATTATGTAATCCAACACGATTCATATAAATCAAAATGATTGATTCCGCCGTTCGCATACAAACAGTACTCCAGAGATTGAGGTGTTTTAAACCGTACTCCGCATTAACGAATTTCAGAAAAAATTATTACACAACTCTTCATTTTGATTTTTCCGTTGAGCCGAGAATAAAGATTCCGTCACGATTCGAACGGATCTCGTTGGGATAAAATCAACGTAGACTTTTTTTTTTATTCCCCGCAGATGAAAAGATTTTGATCCTCTTGTGTATTAATCAGGTCAAAAAAGGAGAAGAAGCGAGTAACTCGAGAAAAATCGTCTGCTAGTAAAAACCGTAATCCTCTTCAATGCGCTCGCTTTTCGCATGTTCCGGGGGGTAACACGACGCGCTTCATAAAGCAACGCACAACTCGCGTGATGACGCCAAGAACCGTCTGAATCTTGCACTACCCCTGTTTACGAACCCGAACCCATGGCAACCCGAGAAGTACTGACGCAGATCAGGAAAGACCGCATCATAATCTCAAAAACGGGCCCAGAAACATTGCGGTACGGTATTTAAATGAATGCCAATAAAATAGAAATACTGTCTCCGCCTAGTTTTCCCTCAAACGGTTTGGTTAGCGACGAATATAGAAGAAAAGAAGGCAACACAAGTCAATGCCGTGTCCAAAGAGATTTGCGCAGGTATTTATCAATCCCCTTTTCATCACGAGGAAGTCGATCAGGGTTTTCAAATTTCAACAGAGGTATTTGGCGAACGCTCGTTCAAACTCAGTACTTTAAGCGTGGTGAGAATTAACGGGTTTTCTGGCAACAAGCCCAAAGCATCGGGAAGATTGGTTCGCCATTCACGTGATTTCCAACGGGATTTCAAAACAAGACCCGTTGCCAAGCACGTAGGCCAGAGGAAAAAAACCCATTAAATTCGTGAAACGTTTCTGACCAAAACTTCCGGCTAAGGCCAAGAAATATTTAGCGAACGTAGGAAAAAAAAGGGCACGGATTCAACAAATGTATGCGATTTTCCGCACTTTGACTTTGGCTAGCCATTCAAGAGGAACATCTGTTCAGGCCGCAGCACGATCAAATGCCGTAAGTTTTGTATGTAAAAGGGCGAATAAAACCAAAAATAATTGGTCAAAAAGTCTACACAAAACTCAAGTACGCTAATAAAACACTGTAAACCCACTGAGTAACTCTATTGCTGGTACAGTACTCGCTTTCCCCTCCGCAGGATTCGTTTGCCTTAATTTGCCCGTCCTTGAGTTGTTTTCAACGCACTATCTCAATCACAGACTACAATATAAATCTTCTAGCAACTGAGGCTTATCAATTAAAAGGTGATGCATAATTTTTTCTGCGAACTATATAAGCAAAACAGGTAAACTCAAATTGTAAAAATTCTGTACAATAATTTCTAGTCGAAAATCGCGCAAATGCGAAATTTATCAATTCTACCAACAAGAAAAAAGGGTGCTGAAAATCAGGTATTTACCAAGTCACCCATTCGACCACGAATAACCAACTCAACCTAATGTCACAAGGAGTTAAATGCGCGAACCCATTCGGATCATTTAAAATCGCAAGCCATGAATAATTCAAAAACAGGTACTCGATTTATCTGGCATCCTAATGCGTGTTCCTCGTTCCAACAAACCGGAGCAAGATTTAATAGCACATTACAATTTCATTCACTCAGATAACCCCCGTTTTCACGAACACTTCCCCCAAGAAGCAGTAAATTATAATGTCTCCCGTGAATTCCGAAATTACTTCCAAGAATAGCCCTGAGCTTCAAAGCGAAATCAAATTCCCAAGCGGTGGCATTAAAAATTTAACGGCACTCGAGAAAATTGAAAACGCACAATGAACAATTCACTTGCGAAAACTCTACCGTATTGAAAAGTTAGAAATCGCTTCAGTCACGAGTTTCGAACATTCCCAAAAGGGCCACATTTCAACAACAAATTACTTCCTCCTTTTTCTAAATACAGTTAGCAGTCGAACTAGACTGAGTCTTGGCGGAACAGCGAAGTACAGTATAGAAAAGTATCACGTTTCCTTATCGAAAAGTGAATACGCGCTCGCAATCGCACGAGAAAAAATAATCTGATCACATTCTCCGGCACGAACAAGTATAAACTGAACTTCCAATCCCTGTGAGACATTACAAAAAAATGGAAAACGAACTCACTTGAGATTCTGACTTAGAATATTCAACGAGGATTTTTTTTTTTGGGATGGAAAAACACTCGCACGTTTCGAACGGTAGACCAACTTTACAGTTTTAAAAACAGATGGAACCTACATTTTTTTAAATAGAAAATATCAACGCATGAAACGGCGTTTGCTACCATTCGTCCTTGAGCATGGACCGCCGTAAACGCTTTCCTATGGCTTTCAGAATTACAGTGTATTTATGAATCTTTAGAGTCTTTAGATTTACAACCTTTCCTACAGCTCACTACATAAAGACGACGTCACAAACACGAAAACGGCGGAAATACCAGGCGAAAAGAAGTCGCACAAAACAAGAAGCCCTAAAATGTTGAGAAGTCGGATATTCTGGACAGATTTTTATTTAGCAGTGAAAAGTGTCACGAGAATCAGGCTTCGCAGAACTTTTAAAGTTCAGACAAGTATGATAAATACTTTAAAATGGGCAAGGTCTTTCTAGTCAGTGAAGCCGTGGCATGTTCTATGGGTTGAAGATGAGGACCTTCGCGGATCCAGCGGAAAATTAATCATATTTCGAGCAATGAAAACATCATGGCAATTTAGCCGGGTCTATAAAATTTCGAGGACACTGTTGCATCCAAAAATGTATTTCGAAAATGTGTTCGTGTGGATTACATCACAGCATTTGCATTTATTTTAAGACATCGCAGTATTTGGCGACCGAAGTGAGGATCCTCGCTGCCGAACGACCCGGTCAACCTTTGATTCACAATAAAAATTACTACTCTTGGTCCGTTCATCAGATAAAGTCAAATGAAACTGGACTACTGGAACAATAACTCCGTTACAGAGCCCGATGCAAAGGAAAAAATGACACAGTTTAAACTTCAGAGGATAATCAATATTCCGTTTCTCAGAAGAATTGCACACAAAAGCAATTATGACTGACCTATTTCTAACCAAAAAGAAACCGCCAATGGGCATCTTTTTTTTATCGAATCCAACAGTTTGAACTTTTGAAGTTCCCCGAAAGTGCGATTCAAATTCAACGGACGAAAAAACCCTCCGAATGGCGCATCACTCAAAATTTAAAATCGGATAAATCTTGCTTAACGAAGAGTCTTGACCAAGGCAAACGCACGAAGATAAATGGAAAGGGTAACGAATTTCGAAAGAGAAATGCAGAAATCTTCAGACCGAAAAATAAAACGTCGTAGCTGAACCAGTATAAACCGCGAATTGCGGTGTACCAAACGCTCATGCGCTGAAACTACGTCCCATTCGGGGGTTCAAACGGGGGAAAATGGCCCCACTACTTTCGAAATTTTCACACTTCGCTTTGGTAGGTCAAAGCGAAGAAAAATCTCGAAATCAAAAAATTCAACAACCGAGCAGGAAGATTTTCGACCTTTTTTAAAAAAAAAAGATTATGATTCGAATGGAAGAGCAAGCCCGAAATCATATTCCAACTTTACTTAAACATTCACAACAGGATTTTCTATGGCGAACAAATCATTTGCCTTTTAAAAGTTGGCATTACAATACTGAAATGGACTTTTAAATACCGTATACGCACTTCGAAAGCAATTTTTTGCATCTCCTTGGACTTCTGCAGTTCGCAGGATTATAAATTACTGAATCGAAGAATCTTCAATTCTCTGGTGAACTTACAAGAAATTAAATCTGCTAAGAATACATTCGCATTCAAAAATTCGTAAAAATATCAAAGCCCATTCGAGGCCACATTACGGGACGATTTGATCCATTACAAAAATTACTCCCATCACACAATACCGAATGATATTAGTTCCAGATGGGAAAATAATAACCATAATTACGAGGAGAAATTTGTCTGGAACCTGCGAGTTCATTCCAACCACGACGACAGCCAACGGTACACAGGAGACACACATCGATGATAAATAAAAAAGGAACCATTCCTCGTCACGGGCGCAAAGAGACACATGAGAAAGGCGCACTTTAGGAACCAATACCCAGGTACTTGGTCCAGCACTGGGTTGGCCGTGGTTTCAACAACGCTGAACAAGGCATGGACTATCCAGTACGTGAGCCAAGTCCTTTCGGCGTCCCCTGCGGAAGTTTCAATCGCCGCCACACTTCGGTACAGCGGATAGATGAGACCGACGACAGTGCAAAATACGGGCGACCAATTAGCATAGGCGACGTAGACAGCGGAAGAAATCAGAATCACGGCGGCGACGAACTCTCGCGGCAGCCCAGTGGCGGATTCCACCTTATTCGAGCAAATATACCGAAGTAATTGTATTCATCAAAATGCAGACAGCATTTCTCATATAAAAAATAAACTTTTATTCTGGTGCGACCTGTTGAACAGCGCAACTCAGAACCTTCGGATAATCAACAGATGCCCCTTCTCAGAAGTAATGATTGTCATCAGCGAGGTTAACAAATTCTGAAGAATTAAAAAAATGCATTAACTCTATTCCTACAGATCGAAGAGTGCAATAAATCGGGTAAAATCGATATTTCGCGGTGTGGAAGATATTTTGTTACCTCTTGACGAATCAAAAATTGGACGTGATTAAGAGCACATTCAGTCGATCGAAGCTCAGTCAATAGGTGGATTTCACTAGATCAATCCAAGTATACGATAATTTATTTATTAGACCAGTTAATCCTGTACAGGGAACAACTATAACAAATGAGAGGATTCAAACGTGTTCTCCTCAGACGGCAAGTTGTTTACACAGTATTCGAAAATAAAATCAAAGTGAATCAGCAAATTAGCCACTATTAATATCTTCGAAAGAATACATTTTCATCTTATATTGCATAAGCCAGAATCGTCTCTAAAAATTTAAAAAATCCCATACGATTTTGCTCTTGATTTTCACACATTTGTTCCGCAGTTTTGGAAATGTGGTACAGCCCAGTACTCAAAAACAGTATCTCTCGGCTAAACTCGACTTAAAATACGATCCCGAACCGGTAATATCGTCAAAATTCCATCGATTCAGGAGTTTCGTTAACTCGAGAATTATCCTCCTAGATCCATCTAAAAATAACACCTAACCCAAGTGCCGATTCCCCGACCTTTTCAAGCCAGCTTTTGACCCGTGTATGCCTCGAACGACGGCGTTCTCGGGAACGCCTACTGACGACTTCATCGTCGTCGGGGGTTGGTGATTGTAGGACAGGAGATGCATCTAGATTTTCGGTATTACCAGTCATTATGCTTGAAGTCTCATTTTGTAATAATTTTTAATTAAAAGCAGAATAAGAACAGTATTGGACGTCGAACCTTCATTGACGTCCGAAGCTCTTCTTCAGCACCCGTGGTGGAGTGATCATTGAGCATGTAACCACACTTGTTCCTCATTCGTACTCCACAAATAAAGCGACCGAGTTGTTTCTTTCTTATGAACTGAAGTTTGAAATATGTATTGAACGACCTTCATTGAATTCTGGTCATGAAAAAACATTGTGAAAGAAGCATCATGAATGCTCTTGCTAACGTCCCGGCCCTTTCTCAAGCAAAGAAGATTACATTCACGTAAAATACAGTAGCATGTAATTGACAGTGAAACTGAAAATGAATTCAACTTATCCACATTTTACCATCGCACGATGAATAAATTTATTACGTCGCGTGGAGAACTACCTTATGACGACATAAAAAATGCTGAAGGGTAAGGAAGCACTGGTCCGAGTTCGATTGCCGGTTTAATGACAAAACATCTAATATAAGGGATTAATGAATGATGAGTGAGGTGGCAATGAGAAATTCCTTCAGGAAAAACCGGTCGTGGCCTCGACCTTCTCGGGTCGGAGTTTTTGTTCCTCCAAAGCAGCGACGAAACTCAGCAACGTGGCATTGACCAGCGATGCTTAGAATTCCTCGTCGAGCTTTCCGGTGCTCTAAGAACCTAATAAATATAACCTTAGTCCGAACACAGGAAAAAAAATTATACTACTGTACGATATAGAAACCCCGGAAAAGTGAACATTGACGATGTAAACATTAACCAGTGGAAATGAATCTCGATTGACCTCGAATCGTCGAACGAAATTCTGCTACCCTATGAAAAAATGTTGGAGCAAAATCCGTTCGGAATTCCAATAAAACCAGAGTGTATACGAAAACAAAAATGTGCTTGCACCAAAATCCAGAGAGGAAAGCTAGAGAAGTGTGCAACTCCATGGCCTTTGCCCAATTTCAGAAAGCTGAGAAGGCCTTGCTCACTGTACCAAAAAACCCGGAAAGCATTTTATGGTCCATCAATAAAGGAAACTGATATTCTCTCGGTCAACGTCAGTATTTTTTCTTCGAACACTTCATTAAAAATGCGTGAAGTCAGAATTTAACGTAACACGAGGAGCCGCCGGTACAACAAAACTTTTCTGGCCTTCGAGATGAGAACAGAAAATGCGTATCCGAAAGAGCCAGTGGTTTTCAATTAAAGAAAAAAGTTTCTACATCAATTTCAGTAGGATTTTTTAAAAGATGAATTTTTCAAACTGCGGAAAGTGAAACCAAAATTCAACTGAAAAATAAAAAAGCGCGTGAGGTCACAAGTATCCAAATCGAAAATCTTCCGTCAGCAATGGCTAAAACTATTGTTTAAAAAAAGTCATATGTAACAAGTTTCGAGAGCAATAACGTGAATTTCCATATCACCGATCACTTACGTTTGATCCTTTTTTTAAAATAAATGTTCACAGCAAATTTCAAGATCCTCCCGAAATCTCTTCGAAGGTAATCAAGACTGATATTGATGATTTGCAGCCTTTACGCAGTATTTTTCCAAAATCCTTTTATACGAACTTGAGTCTTAACGTTGTTTGTAAGAGCAGGAAGGTTCCAGCTTAGTAGTTTTTATTCCGCTGTACCTTTAAACAGCACTCGTTATTGCACTGGAAGGGACGGTGATTTACGCGGTACGAGACCCATATAAACGTGAATATTTCCGTTACTTTCACAAAATAGTCGATACTTCTAGAATGCCACCCCTTTCTTCGCTCTCATTTTCGAGGGGCACCAGTCCTAGACGAAAAGGCTTCATCCATGCACAATTATTTCTTGTACACCGAACAGTGCAGCGCATCAAGCTTCGACACAAATTTAATAAATACAAATAGAACTTCATTTTCGCATGCAATTATATTAAGAGAGAACAAAGGGGCTCATATGCCTTGTGATTTTCACTAGAGCCGCTAAATTTTCCTTCAACTAACTACCGCATTTCAAAATCAGGTTTCAAAATCCGCATTTCACTAATGATAAGTCGGGTCGGTCTAGGATTGTTTTCAATTCTTGAATGCGAGCCTCCACCAAAGGCATCGCGATTATTCGATCACCTACGGGTAACCCGGATACTGTCATTGGAGTTTCGCCGTATGCGGACAAAAGTTCTAGAAATATTCACGTTTTCGTCTCTTGGGTCAAGTGGCGCATATAAAAATCACACTTTTACAACAACAAAATTGTAAGCTTCAGGGATCACCAATATTAATTGTAGTATTTAGGCAGCCAGCCACGCAGGATTTTAGGCCGCGGAGCGGTCGTCTGTGTCGAGGGTCCCGCGGGCTTAGTGTGGATCCGTTCGGTCAAGCACTGTGTCCAGCCCGACCCTCAGGCAACCCGTCACAACCCGCATCACGGTCGCATCGCACATTTTCACCAGCACCGGGAGAAAGACGTGGTCGTACAACATCGCAGAACCATCCCCGAAAATGCACCACGCCAGAACACTCGACACCAAGAAATGAACCACGTTGGCCATGTCGGGCATCGCCGCGGTCAAAGCGGATTCCAGCAGGTGTAGGAGTCCGTAGGCTATCCAGTACACAAACCAGTGTTTTTCGCTCCTGGCTTTGTAAGCCACGCATACGACGAACATGATGGCAGGAAACAAAAGTGTCCACACGCGGAAGTCGAAGCCCGACAGCGCGTAAACCAGGGCGGTCCCGAAAAGAATTCTGAACTTCATCTCGCAACACTTGTAGAATATTTCAACGATTTATTTCTTACGTCCTGTCACACGACGGAAAATAATCGTTCAGTTTCTTCCTCGTGTCGTGGATCCGGTCGAAAAATTACGAAAATAATCTACTTCATCTCGCAACACTTGTAGAATATTTCAACGATTTATTTCTTACGTCCTGTCACACGACGGAAAATAATCGTTCAGTTTCTTCCTCGTGTCGTGGATCCGGTCGAAAAATTACGAAAATAATCTTCCAACGAAACCGGCTTCAAAATCGAATATTTATTAGCGCACCAACTTGAAGAAAAAATTCATTCTCAAACGATCGGCCATTCATCATAGACACTTTTCAATTTTTTTTTTACTGCGGGTGAGTTGAGCGATGTCGAAGAGATCGGAATAATCTTTAAAGCAGTTTCCCGACCATGGTCTAAAAATTCCTTTAGAAAATTAACTTTACAAAACCAATTTTCAGAAAATATCGCTGGCTTTCGTGACTGCATACTTGAGCGCGTCACAGAACGTCACGTAACAAAATAAAAGTAAAGGGTTTATCCTTGTGAGTATTCTACAAGACATCAAGCTTGAAATAGTTTTTCAGGGAAAAGGAGATCCAAATTAGTTCTTCGTCTCCTTGAATTCGAACAAAATAATAACGGAATAGGATGCCTTTTTAATTCGACGTAATTATTGTCACGGCGATTGTAACGAAAGGTGATCGGGGCAAAAAGTTAACAACAGGTGATTTGAGCTACTGCTTTATTATTTCTTTATTATAATAAGCGCAGACGTCAATATCACCTCGCTGTAATTTATTTTACTTCAAGAAATCAGTTTGATAAAAGCATATTTTTCAAAAATTATCTCCGAGGTAATTAAATTCGTTTTAGTAAATACACACGAATCACCGAGCTAACCCGAATAATGTTTTTTTTCCAGCAGGAAATTACATTAAGAAGGGAAATACGGTCACTTGTCATAAAAGCACCGACGCCGGGACCACAAATCGATCGCAGGGTACCATCGACAGCCATCGTCTCCAAGGCTACACCACACATTTGCCTAACGAGATGAACAGCTTGGGTTCCGACAACCACGCCCATCTAAGAAAACCCCGCAACACCAGATAAAAGTCTCCGTTTTGCTCAACTTGGGACCAGACGAAAGACAGCATGCCATGTGGGAAAGCTTGAAATGTCCACGAAGCGAGGCACCGCGATGTCGAAGAATGGTATACAGTACAGTACTGTACTTTCCCAGAAAAAAAAAAAAAAAAAAAAAAAACTGAATTTCCTGTCATAGAAATTCCTACAACATATCAAGCACTTCTTTCACCATTGTTCCAGTGCAGCCGTCAGATGAAAATCTAGTCTGACGAGCTTTTCACCCCACTTTTACAGGTTTCTTCGATTCTTCAGAAGTGCTTCCAATGCAAGCTCATTAAATTATTATTTTTGTACATCCGGAAGAAATAAAGTACAGTATATGAACTCGCGATAATGTGCTGGACTTCATTTGCAGTTCAGACTTATTTTTGGAGTGGATTTATCACACAAATATTTTGCACAGAAAATAACGTACTCGGACTATCGTGGATATCAGGGAGTGTACTTGGAATAAAGAGTACATGAAAGGTGGGACGGCATGAATATAAAAAAAATCCATACTATTTATTACAGGACATCGGAGTTGTATTCTGGGGAAGACGTGAGGCCTATAATCACAAGAGAACAGCTATCGAGATTCTGTCCCATTATTAAATTCATCTTTCGTAAATAACGTAAGATTCAAGTCGGTTGGAAATTTAATGAATTCAAGGAAACGAAAGGCAGTTGACTGGGGATGAAATGCGCTTATCGGAAGCTTTCCATCACTCGAAGGCACCGAAGGAGGCAAAAAATGTTTCTCCTCGTCGCGGGATTTTTTTTTTCTTTCTATTTGACTTTTTTTCATCACTGAAGTCCATTTATCACGATCACGGAACGTTTAACATACCCTGACAGGTCGAGTCGCGTTTAGGTAAGAGATACAGCTCTACACCCGATTATGAAACTTCTCGGCGAGTCGCTTCCTGCCCGAAATTCCAAACACAACCACGTAATAGCCCGCAATAAACTGCGGCATCTTCGCCGTGGGTTTGCCCATGGGAAAGTTGAACCACTCACTTGAGTTACACACCCACTTCTCGGGGATCACGTACACGCGTTTCAAGTCGATCGGAACAGCAAAAAATAGCATTTGACAACACGAGGGTTGATTCACAAGTTCTGCCGGTTTTTTTTCTTCTTTTTTGGGCTTCATTAGTCCCTGAGACTTGAAAGGACGGATTCAGATGGATGCAATTTAAACACGAGCGAGGTTTGACAATTTCCTGGTCACTGTCAATTATGTT